GTAACCCAGACAAGCCGAAAACCCAATCGGAAAGCCCGCGGCAATGGAAACTTGAATTGAGCAGTGAACTGAAGGGAATCCCAAACCCAACCGTACATGGAAGGGTGAACAGAGGGGAAAGCCCAAAAAGAAACGAGGACAAAAAAAGAAACGTGCTTGAGCCGCTGCCGCAGAAGTGGCCTTCATATCTCTACATCGTCATTTTGAGTTGAGTTTCAAGCAATTCCACAGGGTCATCAAAGGTACAGAGAGCTTCGAGCAGGAGCTCGCTTCTACTGCTGATGGACAAAATCCTGCATTACCTTAAGGACCCGAAACTACGGGAACTATGGTATACTAGTAGGGCTTTGGGACATTTTATATTTTCTCTTATTGGGCTTAAGAGGATCTTACCTACTAATATTTTTCAAAGGCTTTAAAAGCACCTCCTAGTATATTCCTTATAATGTGTAATACAGGATTTTGTCCATCAACAGTAGCTTGCTGTCGCAGTGCAACATTGATGCACCACAGACCAGACGTGATGGGCTGCAGGTCATTCGACAGCGAGCCATTCCAGTGACCACGCTTGCGACAGCGACGCAGCTGGGCGCTGTGTCAGCTTAATATAGGGGCCTAAATAATTACCTATACAATTCGGGGGGTTCCTTATTATAATTATAGTATAATGGGCCCCCAAGCCCTATTCTAATTATTAAGGCCCCTATAGTAATCTGCGAGTACCAAGCTTCTGAAATGATCTGATTATCAAGCTGCTCCCTCCTGGGCGCAGCCTGCAGCGGTGACGTGGCCGTGTGGCCAAGGCAACCCTTGAAGGAACCCTTACTTAGAGGATCATGGGACTTAGTAAGTAGGTTATAAGTGGGGTTGTAAGTCCCCTAAGTGGGGTTATCCTACTTATAACCTACTTATAACCTTACTCACTAAGTCCCATGAGCCTTCAAGGGAACCCTTTATGAAGTAGCCCTTTAAATAACCCTTAAGCCTTAAGGGAACAGCCAGACTTTTGACTTCGGAGAGCGCCGAGTCCTTGCCGATGCCTCGACTCGACAAACTGCATATCGCTATCTTGATCCTAATCCCTCGGCCCTGATCTCAACTCTAAACCCTAAACCCTCAATCTAGACCCTAAAGCGTCGGGGCAGCAGGCAAGAACAGGAGAGTGGACATGGCTTGGCCACTGCACACCGACTCGGTGCCTCCATGCTGTACAGTTTCTGGCTTGTCAACAATGCTGTACAGAGGCTGCATGACCGCAAAAAAACCTGATGCTCTCCGTCATTTTCTGCAAAGACATCTAAAGCTCTCCAATCGGGACTGGGTGCTGCGACTGCTGCTGCTTCTCTAACTCCTTACTCCTACTCCCACTCCCCCTCCCACTCCTGCCTCCACTCCTACTCGTACCACTCCTAGCCTGAAAGCTGCCCAGAGAGCCCAATACCCCTTAATTAAGGAATGTTCCTTAAATCATGTTAGGGATCCGACTTTAATTTCAGGTGTCCTTAATTCATGGAAGTTGGAGTCCCCGAAACCCTAAACCCTATAGATCCCTTAATTAAAGGAACCCTATAATTAAGGAATGTTCCAAAAAAGGTAGGAAGGATCCCTAAAATGATTTAAGGTATATTCCTTAATTAAGGGATATTGGAGTCCCCGAAACCCTAAACCCTATAGATCCCTGAATTAAAGGAACCCTAGGTCCTCGGTATTCCTTAAGGGGTATTGGGCTCTTTGGGTAGGGTTCGCTGCAGCTGCCTGTGCCTCGGCAGGTCGTAGAGGGCACGGTCTTGTGAGAAGCCTCGGAGGCCGGGGGTTTGGGGGTGAAAAAGGGTTTAGGGTTTAGGGGTTTAGGGTTTAGGGAGCGGAGTGGGTTTGAGTGAGTTTTGGGTTTATTGGGGTTTAGGGTTCACGGTTAAGTAGTTGCAAGACTAGTTCAGATGATGTGGATGTGCGAAAGCAATCAAACCACTTGTTGATTGTGTGAAAATTTCTATACATACATATATATATATATATGTGTGTGTGTGTGCACCGATCCGCATTCCATCCTGCATGTTCACGCACATATGCACATGCATGCACGCTGTTCTATTTCAGTTTGCATGTGCTGCAACTGATTCCTGCGACAATACAAGTACGTCACAGAGAACCCTCCGATTAAAAGAGATTGAAAAGAAGTACACAATGCAGGTTTCAAGCTAATCTCTAGTGCGGTGCCTCTGTACTATGTTCTGATGTCCTTGCGTCTTCATTTGGTATGGGTTTGTGCGGTTTCTTTGGTATCTATTCTGTAATGTGTCAGTATTTCAGTATGGCTTATCGGGGTTCAGCAAGAGGACGAAGCAACACCAACAACGGGCAGACTATAGGGACATGTATATAGGCTTTAGAATGTTTTACTGCATACCCATGAGTTTCTGTTTTTCATTCGGTATGTACTCAGATAACTGAATAACTCTTATCCCTATACACACATGCAGTATCAGGCAAAGGCAAAGGTACGCTTCTCATGTGGTATGTATCATATTGTCTATTGATAGAAAGGTTTGTCGTTATCATTGTCATTGTTGACCGCGGCATCATGATTTGCACCGGCATGCTCATTATGATTCTGTTGGCTGTGAACATCAACAGCTAGCACTTTCGCCGTGCTTGCATGGCTGCTGGTGGCGTGTTCACGGTTTGTTCGCAGGACTCAAATTCGTTAGTTCCTTCTTCTTCTTCTTCTTCTTCTTCTTCTTCTGCTTCTGGCCATTCCTTGGACTCTCTTCATGCAGTTATGTCTCCAGGTTATACTTGCTTGGGCCCAAAGGTGGTGTTATTCGTACTAGATACATATTAGTATCAGTATCAGTGTCAGTATGAGTATTAGCAATAGCATTAGTAATGTAATAGCAGTAGTGTTCGTATTAGTCTTTTTCTTAGTATTGATGTTAACATTAGTATTAGTTCGTATTAGTAGTAGTTTTAGTATTTGTTTTAGTATGAGTTTTAGTGTTGGTGTTTTTACAGGATGTTATACGATTGTCAGCGTTTGTCACCGCCGCATCTCGTACGCTATCAACCCTAGGCTTTGTCATGCAACAAGTGGCTGTCGCCATTTACATTTGGTTTTGCCCACAGCAGATCACTCATCTCGTGATAGCAGTGGCACATAGTCTGACGAGTATCAGTAGTAGGCACGAGAATGTAGTAGTACGAGCAGTAGTGTTCGGTCGTACTGCTCATCGTCGTACTAATCGTAGTTCTCGTCGTGGTTGTGGTCGTGGTCGTTGTCATGGTCATCGTCGTCGTGGTGGTGGTAGTACCTGACAGCGTAGTGGTAGTGGTAGTTGAGTGGTAGTGGTAGTCATGGTGGTAGTGGCAGCGGCAGGTGCGGCAGTGGAAGTGGTCGTGGAGGTCATAGCAACAGCAGCTGACGGCTGATGGCTATGATGATGTTGTTGATGATGATGATGATGATGATGCTGAAGCTGATGATGCTGATGCTATTGCTGATGATGATGATGATGATGATGCCGGTGATGATGACGATGATGATGATGACGACGATGATAATGATGATGACGGTGCTGGTGGTGGTGATCTTGACGCAAATGCTGCTAAGGGTATTTGTCGTCATACCGGTCGTCGTCGTGACTATGATGTTTCGGTTTGGCGGTGTTTGTTGCTATCGCAGCTCCTGCCGTGCGACTGCAAAAACATGAAAGGCATCAGCCTCTGTCAGCAGCTGTCTGGGTCAAGTCTGTGCACCAGTCCTAGCCTAGGGTCCCCACACGCTGTCCCAGCACATGGCATCCATCCCCCAGTGGCCGTACGGGTACTGCTTGCGCATGCCCGTGGCCCCGGGGTCGGTCCGTCAATATCCCCCACCTTGGCCGACACAAGCCCTCTTGGTTCAGCAGGGGCTCCGCTATGAAGCTCAGGAGTTCGTCCCGTCAAAGCCCAGGGCCGTCTACTCGACCACCCAGGGCAACCCCTTGTTTATGTTTGCTGGTCCTTCTGCATCAGCCGGAGGAGGCTGCAGCAAGGAGTCGACAGAGGACTGCGGTGAAAACTCCTGTTCTGACGGTGCTGTGCAGACGGAGGCGACTCAGCCGGAAGGTGAAGACGACGTTCATTTTGGGGCGCAAACAACGCCACAGAAGAAATCAGGGAAGCGACTTATCAATGCTCGGCTCCCCTTGAAAAGGCAGGGTGCCAAGCCACAAGAGGTCTCTTGTCTGCCAGCTGAGGAATGGGGCTTACAGGCATTGGATGCTGTTGAGGTGACAGCCCAGTACAGAAGCCTCGAGACCGAGATTGCGGTCACCTTGCAGGCACAGGGTCAGGGGTCGAAAGACACAGCTAAGTCCAAGACAAGCAACATGTAAGGCAGGCAACATGAAGAGATAGCAACAGAACAAAGACTCCCACAAAGAATGTCAGGAAGACTGGAGGAAAGAAGAAATCACAGACACACTGGACACACATGACTAAACACATTTTCTTACAGGAAGAACCAAGATCGTCAGAGCGCGCGATCGAGCATGGAAGTAGGAGCAACAAGGTGCAATGCGAAGTGGTGAAAGCAGCAGTCAAAGCAATAACGGAGATGCAAGTAGTCGTAACTAGCAGTGGCAGTCGCCGTCGTCGTCGTAATAGTGTAGTGACAGCAGTTGGGCTTCAGGGACCCAGCAAGGACATAAGCATATGCATTTTATAGAGATGTCCATACCTTATTGGGCTTCATGATAATGGGGTTTATGTGGGATATCCCCATCCTCAATTTTGCTTATGTGCTTTTTTGGGTCGCTGGTAGTGGTATTCGTCGTCGCAGCAACAGCGACTGCAGCAGCAGCGACCTAGTAGAAGGAGTACAAACCACAACAGCAATGATTTGTACTTTCAGGAGCAGCAGTACCGAGCTATTGTCAGTAGTGATCACGAACGTCACGGCAGGTCGTTTCCTGTTTGTTGTTTGATTCCTTGTTCTTGAATCTCAATTGCTCACGGTGCAGGCAGACGGTGCCGGTGATGTGCCCACACCAAAGCTGCCGAGTGAACATTGCCAGTCCGATATCCTCCCTGCAAATCCCTGTGCAGTAGCCCAAGCCCCTGGGTGGCGGCTGCTGACACGCTCGGAGCGCGCGGGTGTGCAGGTGGAGAGGATGTTGCAGGTTGATCCAAGAGCATCGGATCTGCCATCAGGGGAGCAGTTGGGCTGCCCAGCAAGTGAAGCTGCTGTGGCGGAGCCCAACACTTATGGCCTCCTTGAATTCAAACACTCCCACATGCACGATGGAAAGAAGCACGATCCAGTCATCGCCCGAAGCAGCGAGAGCAGCGTTGAAGAGCCACAGGTGGCTGATGTTGACAGCTGGGCTCCTCCAGCTTTCGCGGATGAAGTACGCCACGGTTCGGAAGACCCGTTTCCACCGCAGTCTAGTCCGACAACATCTTCGGCAGCAAGTTCAGTGCTTGGATCACCATCTCAGAAAGTGGAGCCAGATGGCATTCTCCCTTTGCAGGTGGAGCCTGGCGTCGAGTACGATCGAGGCTGGATCAAATACAAGGACCCAGAAAGTGGAGAAATCTGGTTCCACAATGACCACACGGATGACTACTTCTTTGCTGGGTACAGCCGTCAGTGGGGTTGGCTGCCGTACCAAAGCAAAAGTGGGCAGCGGTGGTGGTGGCACGACAAGCGCAAAATGTTCTTTTTCGAAGGCCTGAAGTAGTTGAAGGGAACTCTGCAAGGCCTTTGCAAGACGAGCAGCATCAAGCCGAAGCTACTTGAGAGGGAACGCGATGAGTTTAGCTTTTAATGATCGACTCACATGCATTGCGTGCCGTTGGTGGGCCCACACGGCTTCACAGACGCAGCAGGGCGCATGTTAGCTTACGCAGATTAGGCGCAGGAAATGGGAGCATGCATGGACAAAAGAGGCAGACTGCTTGATCTTGCCACTTGATTTCGCTGGTTTAGACACCACAACTTGATTCACCAGTCTCGAACCCAGAGACTCCAATATCCCCTAATTAAAGAATATTCCTTAAATCGTACTAGTGATCCTACTGTAGTTTTAGGCATCTTATTCCTTAATCAAGGGATATTGGAGTCTCTGGGAAGACCTCCTCGGAGTGCACTTGCCGTGGAGCTTCGGCTCAGCAGGGCAGGCGGGCAAAGGCAGAAGCCATGCTGGGAAATCAGGCCCACCCGATGTTTGCGTTTGCCTTTTATGTAGGTCACCTGATGCGAGCTCATCTGAGATCTCTTGCACACAGGCCCCCCTACACTTTGGACCCTAAACTCTACATCGCTGAACCCTGAAACCCTAAGGCTTCAAACCCTAAACCCCTAAAGCTCCAAAGCTTTAAGCAGCCAAATCCCTCAACACAGCAGGCTTCGCACGATCGGCTCCCTGCGACAGGCTTCCGCCTCGGGAATTCGCACTTTCGGGTCTCGAGGTTAGATTTATTTGTCGAGGTTAACTTTAAGGGTTGCTTTAAAGGATCTATAGATACTATAGTCGTCTGAATTTAGAGCCAGTTTAGGGGTTTGGAGGGCGTTGGTTTCTGGGTTTGGTGGTGCTGAATACTTAACCCTAAACCCTACTGTGAAGTGTGCTTTCTTGACTTGTTCTTGCAGGACGGCTTGAGGGCTGCGAGGTTGGCATTAAGTTTTTAGTCGCAGGATCGTCAGCAGGACATGGTAGAGTTTCAGGGTTCTTTTAGGTGATACTGTGAAAGGCTTCGTTAAGTAAGGACACTTTGGTTTTAGAGTTTTCGTGTTTCAGGGGTTTTGGCCCCTCTGAGCATCGACATACAGATCGCGTTCATCTAAGTGGCCTCGTAGGGTTTGTGAGTGACAGGAGTTGAAGTGCCTGAACCCGGAACTATGGAGTTACAAAGCGTACGCAACTTTTGGCTCGCAGCGCTTGCCAGGGCTTTCAGTTGACTCCTTTCGCGGTGCCGCACCGATCGGCGGATCCACCATGTCGATCCCACGTGAAGTGCAGGCTGCTGTAGAAGTGTACTTGGACATCAGGGGACTTAGTAAGTAGGGTTATAAGCAAGGTAACTATAGTTTTATCTTCTTGTGGCCTTAACTGCGGTACTTCTAACCCTACCTACTAGGTTCATGATCCTGCAAGTAGGTTCTAGAGTTGAGGGTTTAGGGTTGTCGAAACAGGCCGCGGAGCTTTAAACAGTCTGACCAGTGCCGGAGTGAGTCGCTTATGACGTGTACGATGTAGGCTATTCGATACGGGCTTTTGGGATTGAATTGTCACGGCCTTTCCTTGGCCACGGCTTGTAAGTGAAGAGACGGTGAAAATCTCAGTAATCTCAGACATCTGTAGATTACAGTTCGCCTGAGATGCTCAATCCAGTACTTGAACCCCAGACAGAGACCTCAAAAGCGCTGCGCTTGCAAACAGGGCATTTTGGCCGTCCTTGTCTGCGGCTGCTTCAGCACCTTGAACTTGATTCTCTCCAAGTTGCTACAGGCTGGGACAAAGTCAAGCCAGGTCCTGGATCGAGCGTCGTGTCGGAGTGGACTGATACGGTGGCTTGGCTAGTCAGCAACTACATCCGCTTGCAGTCCCTGTACCATAATCTTAGAAGCTGAGTGGGTACGGTTTACACTTTTGGGGATAATAATATCGCGGTAGAACTCAAAGTTTACACGATGAACTCCAGCAACTAAGCAATAGTACGATAAGCCCAAAACCCTGTTTTAGTCACTAAGGCCCTTGTACCGCCACACCCGAATCGTTTCTCTGGCTTCGCAAGAAGTCGAATCCCTTGTCTTTGTCTCTGCCTCTCTAGCGCTCTCACTAGAGTCCCCTTTCCGGGATGCATACTGATGACGTCGACTGGCAAGCAGCATGTAGATGGGATGGGATGCCTTCACCATGCCACGGGGCTGTTGGAGATGCTTGGCTTTTGCAAACGCACCACAACCCCAAACCCAAAATCAACCCCCATTGAGTCTTCTGCAGGGCTGCATAGACTCTGCAAGTGTTGGAAATCTCTGGCATACGCGAACCTCGCACGACCCCATGTCCGAAACCCCCTTGGGTGCTTTGCAGGGCTGGCAGTGGCCCTACTTCTTCCTGGCTGGCTTGTGCTCGCTGCTGATCGTCTTGGGTCTTCAGGTCCTGTCGCTTCCGTCGCATTCAGCGTTGTGATTGCGGTCTGGATTCGGACACACAGGGGTAGCAGTAATATGCACTTGTAGTCTGCGTATCGCCATGCAGTAGCAGACAACAAACCCTGTTCTGAGTGTTAATTAACGCTCTCGAGCTATGCTGCTGTGCCCGCCCAGCATCCTCTTTTGGATAGATTTCTTCATGATACCATTGCTTTGAAACTGTTGTCAAGTCCCAATAAGCATGAGATCCACATCCACATTGCATGAGTCCGGCTAGCGTAGACCACCTGTCCGGGGTTGTTTCTTTCGTTGCCCTGCTCGGACTAGACGGCCAATATTCCTGGAAAAATGATCGGCCCTTGTAGAGAATTCATTGAAAGTCCTGTGTCTGCATGTCGTAGCAATATCCCCTTGTAACGCCTAAACGGCAGACGATAACATACCTCACATTTCCATTTTAGCCACAGCAGCAGCGCACAGTCAGGATGGTGGCACGACAAGGCCTTGCTGCATATCACTGCGAGAGGAAGGAGATCAAGTGGGTGCTTCTTCGAGGTACCGCCTGCGTTTGCAGATTCAACCTCTACAGAACGTTGAATGAAGTGGTGGTATAAGATAGGATATACGATCTTACGTTTTTTATGGGACCTTGATAAGCTCATATTCCATGATGCAGGGTAGCCAGAGTTGACGGATAGTCGACTAGCAACAATTCGTACATACTGCAGCCACATCAGGTCGTGGCGGGGGGAGGGGTGGGGTGGGCTGGGGTGGGCTGGGGTGGCAATCTCATAGAGTCATATGCCAGCATCGATGATGCTCAATAGCATGTGGAAAGGGTAGCACATGTCCAGAAGAGAAGAAGACATTGTCTCTATACACACATGTTATATCTCTCTAGATATATAGACATAGGCATGCACGTCCGTAGATATTTACCTATGGCTGTGTGTATACAGAGAGAGAGAGAGAGAGATGTATATACATATATATATATATATATACAAAGTCAGTTGTCTGGCGTGTACACTCAAACCTGCCCGCTTCACCGCCAGACGAGTGAAAAAAAAACACAAGCAGGAGATAGCATGTGTCAAACTAAACCTAGCACTTGTGGTCCACCGGTAGTGATGGATGCTGCAGTAGCTTAATGACAAATCACGGCGCAGTTCTGCTTTACAGAAAAAAAGCACGGCAGCAGCAGCGGCAGCACCAGCAGCAACGATCGTACTACTAGCACGTGTACTATCGCTACTGCATCAGTTCTAATTCTGATACCCACTCCGATGACAACGACGACGGCGATAAACGACGACCACAGCAACAACCACCGTGGCCAATGCAGAGGACTCTTCGGCTGCGGCAACAACGTTCTGAGCGTCTGTGCAGCTCTGGCTGGCGCGCCAATGGCAACACTGGCCGGTTTAAGGGTTTAGGGAATTTACGGCCCCTTAAAGGAAGCCTAAAACCTAAACCCTAAAACCCTAAACCCTAAACCCCACGGCCCCTTAAAGGAAGCCTAAAACCTAAACCCCTATTGGGTTTGGGATCTCCGCCCGATTCCTTCGATTTAGGACCTCGCCGGGCTTATTTTTGTGCGTTTTTTGATGAACAGGCCGTGTTTGAGAGAAGGCATCCATACGGCTGATGATGGTATATACATATATATATATATACATATATATATATATAGGGTTTGGGATCGAGCGACCAGTAGCGGTCGTATTGCCTGCAGACCCCAGTGCACCTATTGCACGCCATAGGGAGCCGCCGGTACGAAATCGCCGAGCTGGCACCGCAAACTCCGCTCCACGAGAGCCAAAGCCCGCGGCCGCATCCGGCTTGCGAGACTGCGTGGCCACCCACCGAGGTGGCGAGACCTTGGCCGACTGCTGGCCCACCACTCAGCCCCGCTCTACAAGGAGGTCTTCCACCCCATGGGCAGAAAGGATCAATGGCCCCAAGACTGGTCCGAATCGCGACGTGGGCAGCAGCCGCAACGTGGATGGCATGGTGGGCGACAGCGAGGCAAGGGCCAGGAAAAGGGGAAGGACCCTTCCTGGCATACATCCTGGAAGGAGACGGAGGAACCCGTCTTCCCGACCCTCGAGGCCATGCAGGTGACGAGCACTGGTGGCAAAGGAGGCCAGGATGGACGTGCGGCCGAGACAGCCAAGAGCGCGGGGTCGAAGACCATGGATCTCGTGTCTGGGGCACAGAGATTGGTCAACAACCTGCGGAAGGCGGAGGTGAAGGTGCGGAAGACAGACGAAAAACTGGCCCGCCTTCAAGAACAATGGACGGCCTACCAGGACAAGCTCAAGAAGGCGTTCCTGAAGGAGAGGAACAAGTTCCTCGATGCCTCCAAGGTGCTCCGTGCGGAACAGGCGGAGAACATCCTCAACGAGGAAGAGGCTCTGAACGAGCTCCAGGAGGCCATTGCGGGTGGTGGTTTCAAGCCAGCGGAGAGCTTGCCGACCCCCACATTGGAAGAGGAGCAGGCTTGGGACAGCCTTATGCAGGAGGACCCCGAGGACGACGAGATGGGCTTGGCAGAGCTGGTCTCAGGAGCGCTGGCGGGCA